CAAGCCATATTCAGCTCAGCTGCATCTTTTTCAGCATGAGGATTACGCTGATGTTGAGGGTGTGGCTGAGCGCGGATACGCGAAGATGCCCCCTGTGGAGAGGACGCTCGCGAGCATTACAAGCTTACCAAGCTGACTTGCTCAGAGACCTAGATAAGGGCAGGGTTTGTCCCCTGGGGCAGTTCTGAAACTGCGCCATGCCACAGACTTGGCTCTACGCGCCACTAAGCAGTGGTGGTTACAGAGGTGAATTTGTGGTTAAATCTCATGGATATCAGGAGAGAGGTGAAAGACTTTAATCTTGATGCTCCGCTGTTGCCTTCCAGGCTTTTCAGCACCTTCACTGAGGCGTTGGTCGAAAAGTTCAGGGAGGCGAAGGTGCGGTCCGCTGCCTTACAGGAAGTTCATTCCACGCCGTCCCAGGTCTTCCTCTAAAACCTCTGAGGGTGCTGGTCCGTCTCGATCTGAGGATCTTAGGCAGGATCAGAAGAGTAGTGTGGCCACTCGTGCCCCTCCTCTCTCTAGGAGTTGGACGCAGAGACAGGCAAGTGCTAAGAGACACTGTTTACATCGGGCCCTGAGGCTGGACTAATGTTGTTCTTATGTGTTTCTCTTGTTGGCGAACCATTGACTGAAGGTCCAGTCTTTCCCTTGTGATGTAGGTTTTTTCAAGTACTCTGTTGCGGGGCTGCCCCCTTATCAAGGTTTTTCAAGTAGGTACCCCCTGAGCCTCTTCTGCCGTCTCCCCTTGGGGTGTTTAATAGATGGTCTACTTCCTTTATCCCTTAAGTTTAGTCAGGTAGTAGGGGTGGGCTGCCCCCTTTCTACAGGGTTTTTAAGCGGGCGGTCCCCCTGGGCCCGGCATGCTGCTTTGGCTCATTGTAACATAGCCTTCTGAGGATAGCTGTGTTCTTAGCTTGGTTAATGGGATGTCCCTCCTATTGGCTGGGTTCCCCATTTTTCCGAGTTATGTTATCAGCCCCAGGTGTCAGTGGCTTGCCCCCTTTCTGAGGGAAGGTTTTGTGTATGTCTGTCACTTCTCTTGGTGCTCTCTCACCAGGTGAACTGGTATGCGCCGTGGAATGGCTGAGTGGTTATTCCATTCCCCATTGTGTCTGCTAGAGGACGCAGTGCGAGTTTCCTAGAAGGGGAACGTCCTGGGTTACGCATGTAACCATGGCTCCCCAAGAGAGAATGAGACGCTGCGTCCCCTCTCCTAGGGCTTGCCTCTTTTAGCGTCTCCTTCGGACAACCAAGTTGGTGACGTTTTCAGCAGTTGCCTCTCTTATGCTCCTGGGCGTCCGCCTGTGACTCATTTCCACTCACTATATATTGTGTAAAAAAATTGGTTTAAAATATAACAAATTCTCTTTGGGAGAGTATTAAACAGATATTTCTTGTTTCAAAGACCTTTATTTATATTTCTATATGAAAAATTAATTTTTCTTCATGTTGCTTAGAACCAGATGCCGCCTTGTATGGTCTGTTCCTGGATTGCTGAGCGTTTCCCATCTCTCAGAGGTTCTGTTTGAGATGGTATTGCCAATCTCCTCTTTCTGCCATGCTTTTTTTTGATCAGGAAGTGAAATTTGAGGAGTTAATGGAGCGTTTTCTGGCTCTCCACTCCTCTGCTGGAGACTTATGGGGAAGTTCGCCCTAATCCCACAAATCATGCCAGTGTATGAATTTTAAATTAAAAAGCCCAAATTTCTTTCGTTGTACTATTCATTTCTCCCCACCTGTGCTCCGATACTGTGCTGACCTGCACACGTTTCATCATGACTGGAAATACAATGTTAGTCTGTGAGTTTTGGATGGAAATTAGATTATCCTGACATGTGAAGAGAGAGACCCCATCTTCTCAAAACAATGAGGGGTGAATTCAATAAACTGCTGCATCACTTCAGCACTTCATATTTCAGCACAAACCCCTGAATCTTATTCACAAACCACCCACAAAATAGTTTAAACGGGTGCAAAATGCCTTGAAATAGTGCTGTGGCTTGAGTATTTCAGTTATAGTAAGTCACCGTCATTATTTTCAACAAAAACACGCCGACTTTCTATGTACAAATTTCTCACAATTCCTTTAGTAAATCAGATTGTACAACATTTTTTTCTTTTTTTTATTTCTAATGATTTTCTAACAAGAGAAAATATATACACACTATTCAAAAGTTTGGGGTCAGTAAAAAAATAAATGAATAAAAATCTTACATCAATACCTTTATTCAGCAAGGATGCACTGTGTGTGTTTATATATATAATTTTCATGTGCCTGCATAGACATATTAAAGCATAAAATGTATTAGAAAGAACAGATTTGCAGAAACGAGTTGAACTTCTTTTAGTTGATAAATATGTGTAAAGTGGAGGTTGTACGTTATTGTTGCAGAGCTTAGATTTGTTGGTAGGTCACAATCCTCTGAATGGCGATTCTGTTGGAAAGGCTGCTGATTATCTAAGGAGGGAAATTTATATTTTTCACAGTATTCTCTTGGGTGTGTTTTGTGCCCTTCGACTACAGAAATAATGATATGAAACAATGAGATGAACCTCAGACTGCTGAAGCTACTGTCTCTGTGGACCTTGGAAATGGAGCGGGGAAGGGATGCAGAGTTTGTTCTCTTCCCAGCTCTCCGAGTAGCTATACATATAATTTGATATTTTATAATAAAGTTTGACACACAGATCCCAGATGAGACATGACAACATACTCTAACCAGGTGACATAAAATCCCCAGCATCAAGTATTAACTTAAAGAGAAAATGCCATTCCAAACTATAAAATCGGACTTAACCATTAGCTTTGCAGTTGTTTGATTGACAGCAATGTCTTCTAGCACCCAAACTGTAGAGGATAATGCAATGCAATGCTAGCATGTGTTCTACAAGTGTACAATTAAGAAAGATCATTTGCATTGTTTTACACACCTGTCTCTGCAAATGTTTGCTAGACAGGTTTTTTATATATATATATATATATATATATATAAATATATATATACTGTCGTATGTTATATATACTCTGGTTTGTATGATGGGTCTCAGATTCAGTCTAGACAGAATGGTTTTATTTTTGATGACTCTTTGAAACTCTGAGTAGAAGTGCTTTCCTGATTAATCAAGGGAATGTAGGATGTCTTAATTTTGCATAAACTGTCCTCACCAAAGCACAAATAATGGAAAAGAGAGTTGAATATTGAAGTGTAATAAGCACAACAAGATGACAGATTGTGGAAAAGAACATTAAAAGTGCTTTTCATATTTAAACTGTTTTGATGGGCTCTAAATATCATTAAGAGTTAATGGTCAGGGTTTACTGGATAAATTTATGGAATGCTCGTTAAGAAGTTGGGAACTGCTGAAACCAGGTACCTCAACAACAGTGGAGCTCCTTTTAGAGGCAAATAGAGTGCCACAGTCAGGTTTCAGAAGTAAAAATCCTATTCGTTTTCTCCATAGTGGAATTCATTTTGCACAGTAAATGTAAAGGCAGAACTGCTGTGAGCTATACTGCTGTTAATTGATGGTATATGCTTTTGCTGAAGACATCGGCTGCACTATTTCATCAGATTTTTTAAATATTCATGTATAATGGAAGAATTTCTGGTGGAAAAACTACATTTCCCATGATTCTGCAGTGAAATCTTTATCAATCAGAGACTCACAACAAGCAAATCACACCCACCAACTCCCATGAAGCACTGCAAATGCATAAATTGCAATAAACATCAAATTAATTGTTTCTATATACATAATCAGCATCTTTAAATGAAATTTTTATATTTATCTATAATTCTACCATCTTCCACAATGATTCATGGGATTGTAGTTCTTTCCCTCATTAAACCGTTAAGTACACAGTCTTGTACTTTTTTGTCTTTTTGTCCAACTTTTAAATACTTTTTTGCTTTGAATCAAAGTTTGTAATATTATCATTTACTTCGTAGCTGGTCAGTTTGGTTCATGGCTTGTAACTCTTAAACAAAGATTAAAAAAAAAATACCTATAGGCATAGAAAAATACTTCTAGAACTATGGCTGCTTAAACAGTAGGCGGGCACTCTCTTGGATATTTATCTCATGATTATTAATCAGGCCTTGTTGCATGAACTAATTAATATTCACAAGTCAAGTTTTAGCTATAAAAGAACTGGTTTATTGCAATGGGATGGGAATTATGTAGTATTGCAGATGTACCACATCAGCTTGAGTATACCTGCTTGATGTTGGCTTGAATATTTTTTCACAGCCCTTTACTTTTTTGATAAATGTTTGTGAGCACACAAATCTAATTCAAACCAATATGTTCTGATCTGTAAATTTGGTCTGTTGTAGAGACATTAAAACTCAATTCTATATGAAATTGTCAAAATCACGTCAACAGTTATCTGGTTACATTTGTGTGGATAAGATACATCTTGCACTTGAACGAGCAATTTAAACATTGTACTGTCCAGATCATGTGGATGTTTGATGTTTGATGGACATTTGGAAATTTCTGTCTTGCCACCGCCTCTGAAATTACCTTTTCAATACTGTTTTCCGCTAAGTACATCATTGAGTTGCGAACCCACATTTTCCCAATAATGCAATGTATCACGAGTACCCACACTCATACAATAACTCATTAATGTGACTAATAACCCAGCACCCCACTGTGTCCCACAACAACAAAGACTTCTGTGCGTGTTCAAAGAGCTCATTTACACACTTTAATGTCTAACAATGCTTGCCTCACCAACAAAAATATCCACCAATCACAGAGAAATGTCTATCAGATATGATTATAAGCACATCCAGTTAAATTAAAGCGTGGCCAATGGAAGCTATTTCACAGTCCACTGATCAGTCAAAATACGCTTGGTACAGATGACATTGGGCAAATGGCAGGACTGTTATCTGAGCTTATCTGAACCTGAAATTCACACGGATAAACCTTTATTCTACCTAGATAATGATTTGACTAACTCTCCCTGTCTCTGTCTCTCTTAACAGAAATCGAAAAGGTACAGAAAGACGAAGACAAAGAGGATGAGAAGTTCATTGATGTGGTCATCAACAAGAACATGAAACTGGGACAGAAGATTTTGATCCCTGTAAAACAGTTTCCCAAAGTAAGTACAACAAAGCTGTTTTTCAGTGTCTAATATATAATATAGTAGTTACACCCAACTAGAACAGAACAGATTAGGAGAAATGTTGCATTCCATCACTTGCTCACCAAAGGATCCTCTGCAGTGAATGGGTGCCGTCAGAATGAGAGTCCAATCAGCTGATAAAAACATCACAATAATCCACAAGTAATTCACTCCACTCCAATAAATCAATTAATGTCTTGTGTAAGAAACAAATCCATGATGAAACCACTGCTTCCCTTTAAAATATGAGTCCTCTCTATCCATAATATTGCTTTCTCCAGTGAAGAAGTTGTCTAATCTGAATCAGGAGAGAAATATGCACAGATCAAGCACTGTTTACAAGAAAGAGCTCTAAACGTATATGTGGAAGGATTTTTGGATGTGAAGACAACAGAGGATGGACTTTTTCACTGGAGGAAGCGTTATTGTGGATTGCGGACTGGTTTTTGGCCAGAAGCAACAGTTTAAAGTTAAACACACAGCTTTTCATTTCACAAGATGTTAATTGATGGAGTGGAGTGGTGTGGATTATTGTGATGTTTTTATCAGCTGTTTGGACTCTCATTCTGACGGCACCCATTCACTGCAGAGGATCCATTAGTGAGCAAGTGAGGATGTAATCCTAAATTTAACCAAATGTGTTCTGATGAAGAAACAAACTCATCTATGTCTTGGATGCCCAGGGTTGGAGTAAGTTTTCAGTAAATTTTCATTTTTGAATGACTGGTTCCTTTAATATTTTTGCAGTGCTGATGAAATCATTGATTGATCATAATATTTTATAAATATCCATTGTCAAAAATCTAAATGATTTTCTAAATGCAGTGTTATAGTGTAGAATAATTCAATGTTGTTTTTAGACTTAGTGACAGAAATTCTTAATGTTCATGACATTTTTTTCACGGCTGATAACCTTTGTGTCTTTCATTTGTTTAACATGCTTTCACACGACTCCACTATACATACCGACCAGTCATTCATAAGGATGAAAAGCACTTCACAGTGCAGCTACATGTTAATATGAACATGAGTTTGATATTGAAGCACGCACAGACGATTTCAGCAAATGGTCCTAATTTCCATATTGTTGCTGTTGAGTGTGTTATTTGATGATTTTCCCCCCTTTGCCAGATGTAGAGGTGAGAGTGACCTTGATGGCAGACTATCACATTATCATACCACTGAGCATGTGTGTGTGTGTGTTCATGTGACATGTGCATATATTCCCGCTGTTTTCACAAAGGAGTCTCACACAAGGAACAATTCTTTCTGTACCTCATTTAGTTTGTGCTTTCGTAGTTCTTCCAACATAATTTAATGGGCTTCTTGGTTTGTGTGGTTTTTAATTCACACCGTTCCATCCTGGGAGGGTGAAAGAGCGACAAACAGCAGGAAACAAGAGAGAAACAGAGAAATTTAAGCAGCAGGTGTAGATGTCTGACTCTATTCAGGAAAAAAGCTTTTTAGGGCAGTGAAAGGGTTTTAGATAGATGATAATTAGAACAGTGTGTTTATGTGATTGTTTGAGGAGGTGTTCCAGTAACGAAGGAGATGAGTAAATGAACAGGACATGTGGAAGAAGCACGTGCTCATGTTTTTTTTTTTTTTTTTGTCTATCATAGTCACCATTTCCATTCACTTTTATTATTATATAAGTTAGCTACTGATATTTTCTGTATAAGTAATAAATAAAATAATACACAGTATGTATCTTAGTTAGGAATAATTAAGATTTTTTAAAATGTTTTTGAAAGAAGACTCATGCTCACCATGGCTGCATTTGTTTGATTAAAAATACAGTAAAAACAGTAATATTATAGCTATATTTAATATATTTTATGTACACTGAAAAAAGCTTTCATGGGCAGCCTAGAATATCAAGCATTTTCAAGACAAAATAAACTTTTTTTCATTGTTGAATATAAAATAATTAAAAAAAACTTTGTTCTCTTTCTCTGGATCATTGTTTCTACACTGGTGATTCTTTTCAACTAACTTTTTTTATTTATACCAAACAAGGTCATATTCATGTCTAGAACATTGGGGGGACCATTGTTTTGAGGAAAATATAAAGACCAGACCACTATGGTAATGGTAAAGGAACTAAATAAATAAAGGATTTAGTGGAATAAATTAAAAGAAGAGAAAAAAAAGTCAAAGAATAAGATTTTTTTGTAAAATAATCATTCTGAACTGCAAATAATAGTTTTATTTTAAAGGGGCCATATGACGTTGCTAAAAAGAACATTAATTTGTGTATTTGGTGTAATGCAATGTGTTTATGCGGTTTAAGGTTAAAAAAACAC